ATGGTAGTAGAGGATAAAAAAGAGTAGCCCAGAGGAGACTCTAGAAGACAGCAGCTCATCAGAAATACTAACTTGTATCTCAGTGACAGGAAGTTACCTGCACATACATGATCAACAATCTAGAGGTTACCAGAAGTTCCTTCTACTGCTTGGGAATATCTCCCTCTTTGTGGTGAGAGTGGGAAGAGACTAAAAATGAGAGAGAAAGGAGAATGATAGGGTTGGTATGCAGCTGAGTAAGCTATTGTCTAGAAGCACCTTGAGCTCCCTTCAAATCCTCATGTCCTACTTATTACCTTACTCCAGAGCTGATCTAGGCTGGATGCTATAGGGGAAGGAAGAGGGTGTGAAGGGCATCAGCATCCTCCCATTCACCCAGACTTACAACCTTTATGTCATCTTGGATTTCTCAACTAGGTGGATTCTCAATCACTCCACACATCCAACCTGTTTCTAAATCTTGCCATTTGTATCTTCACAACATCTCTAGTTTATGCCTCCTTTCCTCCACTTCTACAACCACAAACCCTGGTTCAGGTCTTAGTCACCTCTAGCCCAAATTATTGCAATAGCCTTCTAATTGGTTTCCCTTCTTCCAATCCATCCTCTGTGAAGCAGTTAAAGTGATTTTCCTAGAGTGCAAATCTGACTATATATCACACACCTCCAGTCCCAATGAGTTCCAATAGCTTTCTATTACCTTGAGGATTAAACATAAACTCCTCTATTTGACATTTTAAGCTAATCATAACACTGGTCCCTTCCTACCTGTCCAGTTTTCTCATACTTTACCTTACTCCTTTCCAGGCTTTCTACAGTCTAGCTATACTAGGCCACTTGCAGTTGTGTAAACACCACCCTCTAAGTCTCATTTCCACACCTTTCCATTTGCTATTCCTCCAAAATACCTGGAAGGCTTTGCCCCCTCACATCCATCTCTCAGCTTTCCAGGCTTCCTTCATGACTCAGCTCAAATCCTGTTTTCCATAGGAAGCTTTTTCCAATACCTCCAACTGCTAATGCCTTTCCCCTTTAGATTCCCTTCTCTCTTCTCTGAACGTATGTTCTATAAACCTCGTTTTCTATATGTTTTCTCCCTCATTAGAATGCAAGCAAGGACCATTTTTGTCTTTCTGTACATACTCAGCACTTAGCATAGTGCCTGGCACATAGTAAGCATACCACGTTTAATAAATGCTTATTGACTTACTGACTGATCATTTAGTAGTTATGTATAATTGTCTGTCCATTGGATTTGTGGGAGGGGGGAACAATGGGGGTGGGGAAGAATAATTATTGGTAGAAGAGAAGATAGAGACAGGAATGGATCTTTTCACTCCCTACGAGTTTCTTTTTTGTTTACTTTAATACTTCAGAAGATCTGTAATTTAATTGGTGTGCTTTAATGGGTGGGATAAGCCTCACAACTTTTCTTTGCCTTAGATCAGAGCTTCCTAGACTATGGAGCTTGAGACCCTTTGTGGGTGAGGGTGGGGGTGGTGTGAAGTAATAGTAAAATTTATTGGGTATGCTAGAGTATAACTCCCACATGAATATATGCACTTTTTTCAATGAAAACAAAGTTCAAATCAAAGTCAACAAAAATGAAACTAACACAGCAAATTCCTGGCAAACTAACAGAGAATACAGCTGAGCGAATATTTAATATGGTATGTACAAACAAAGGCAAATTTGAGTTGGCTAGCTTTGACTCTCCACACAGTCTCCAAACAGACCAGCTCTGCCACCAAAACTATCAGTTAGCATTGGTTTATGATACAGATAAGATTGTGTCATGAGGTGCCCTTTGGTTTACTTGTAGTAACAAATCCTCTGAAGTTCACAAAGAATTATATCTGATTTGTTTTGCAGTAAGCTGGGAAAAGAAAGAAATCTTGTTTGTTAACAACAGGTAATGTTAGCATAAAGGATAACAGATAGGCCAACCCCCTGAGGCCTAAATAGGAAAAGAAAGATGGCCTAGGAGACCAAGAGGCATCAACACACCATAGTAGAAAGAGTGCTGGGACTGGGAGTCACAGGAACTGGTTTCAGATCCTTGCTCTACCCCACTGTGTCATGTTGGACAAGGCATTTAACCTCTTTGGGAATCAGTTTCCTTGCCTATAAAATGAAATGGATGGACCAGATAACTTTGAAGGTCCCTTCTAGTTCTAAGTCTGATCCTTCAGGGGTGATTCAAGGATCAAGTTTTATATTGCAGGAGGTCCTGGTACCTCTCATCCTCAGGCCTGCCCACATCGAGGACACAGTTGTCCCTTAATTCCATTTCCTTACTGTGCTGGATGGATGCTACAGAAAGCCACAGCAGCCACCACCAGTGATTTAAAAACAGGCAGAATACAACAAATTCCTGTGTCTGACAGATAGGGCAAGTCCCCACTGCAAGGAAGGATAGAGGAAATGTATTCTGGGAGTTAAAACTATTAAGCTGAATATTTTGAATGTGAGGTAGCATGGTGCACTAGAAAGTATCCTGAACTTGGATTCAAAGAGAACTTCGTGAGATAGTTCCCCTTTTCTCAGCTTTAGTTTCCTCATGTGCATAATGAAGGGGTTGAGTTAGAGGAACTGTGGGGCACATACCTTGTGCAGATCTAAGTGCTATGATTCCAAATCAGCTAATTTCTTATCTACAATGGACAAGAGGATAATGACAAAAATGAGGTATGCAAATGAAAAGGAAAACCTTGTTTTTTAATGTTTGTATTTAGCTTGTTTTTTGAAGGAAGAAGAGGACTTCAGAGAAAAGTATAGGAAATGAGTCCTTGAAAATCACCATTTTTCTATGTTGTGACTATGCAATTAGCAGTTTTCACTAAAGTCTTCTCTGATGCCTCACTGTGGCACAGAAGCGTCCCTGGGTTCTCAAAAGCTATTCCAACAGAGCAGAAACTTTGCTGGTTTCTATGAATCAGAGGAAGAAGAAGAGAGGGAAAGAAGAGTGGGGGTGAGGAGGGAGGGGGAGTTCTAATAACTGGTGGAATCAAGGTTTCCCCTAATAGCAGGAGTTGAGCTTTGAAGGAAAAGATTCTAAAAGGTAGAGGACTTCAAAGAGTCTACAAATATTTACTAAGAACTTATGTGACAGGCACTGTTTGCCTAAAACTTTGCATCCATCTCAGATATTATACAGGAAAATCTTTGGTACAGTTTTGGTAATGGACTAGCCTAGCTAAATTTGGATAGTTTCATTACCAGAGAGACCACAGACTGATTAATGTTTTTGGCCACACCAACTCTTGAAGATTCCCTACTAAGGTGTGCAAGGTTATGGGGAGCAAGCTAGAGGGATTAACAAGGAAATCACAGATGCTTTGAAGTGATGTCATTCATATCAATGATTAAATTCATGAATTACTCTTTTATTCACATTTGCAATTCCAAGAGATAACTGCTAAAGCCCTGTTTTAAGTAATGATTGATTCAATTTAACAAACATTAAAATTGTTTACTAGATCCATACAAAGTATCCCAAAAGTCTTAGTATGGTTTTAACCAAAGTACAAAGGTCCTTGCCTTTGCGAGGCTTAAAAGAGAAGTTTTCATACCAAAGTGTTTAGCAAGTTTCACTATCCAATTAAGTGCAGTGTAAAAGTTCCTGACCAAATCAGAAGACCTAGATTACCATTGTGCCTCAGTCACTTACTGGCCATGTGACTAAGAGTACATCTCAGTTTCTCAATCCACAAAATGGATCTCCATCATATAACAATTCACTGGATTTTTGTGAAGAAAGGCTTTAACACTCGAGTTATATAAGTGCAAGGTATTATTTAAATTAAAATTTTCTTGTGAAAAGCAAATAGCTTAATTTATTAGTAGTCTATAATTAAGGGAGAATATGCTGAGTAAATGGATTTTTTTTTGCCTGAAGTGCAAAGGCTAGTTTCCAAATTTGCTCATTGCTGTTTATCTTTTAAGCTCCGAATTCCTTTTTTTTTTAAAAAAACTTGACGTATAGTCAGTGGCTGGTTTAAAATATACCAACCCCTTCTTCCCCGCATCTAGTGGTATTCAATAAAGATGGCTTTAGCTGAAGCTTTTTGTAAAGACAGAGGGATGGTCTTCACGACCTTTCAAAGTCATTTCCGGAATTTTATAATATAGCCCAGTCCCCTAGATGACGAAAGTCTAGTGGTTCTTCTCGGTGATTCAGTAGCCCTTTAGACCTGGAGAGTACCCAGAAAACTGGGACTGGGTTCGGTACACCTGGCACTCCTAGTGCCACGCCCATCCAAGGGTAACGATCCAATCCGAAGGCAATCCAAGAGGATTGACTTGCTTATCGAGCAATAGCAGCCTGCAATAGTGGGTGGCCGTTCCATCCCCCCCAGTCCCCGCCTCCCTTTCATTCTGAAAGAAAGGATCTCTGCTGAGAAGTCCAATGAGGAGCGTAGAGCCCGAGAACGACGTCTTGAACCCCGCCTCCCATCCACCGTCCCTCCTCCCTGACCCCGCCCAAGTCGAGCTCTGAAGTCTTCTGGAGGAATAACATACCAATCGGAGAGCGTCCTGTATCGGATTGACAATAGCCCGCCCAATCCCTTGGGCCGAAGCGAGGGCGACACACGCCCCTGCCTGTACCCCTCCATCGCTCCCCCCCAACCTCCTATCCTCAGCGGGGGGTCGGAGCGGCTTGCTGGGAGCCAGTGTGGAGTTGGGAGCGGGCGGTGGCGACGACTGCCCGGGCTCTGGTCACTGACTCAGGGACTCGAGTCTGAGTCTCCGTCCGCTAGGATTTGGAGGCCGCCAGCAGCCCGGCTTCGCCCCCGTCTGTGCCCCTCCTCTGCCCGTCCGGGGGTCGCGTCGGCAGCTCCCCGCTAGCTGCCGCGCCCCTCGGCCGCCTCCGCCCCGGGCCGGAGGAGCGGCGCTCCCCTCCCCCTCGGCCGCGGGGCCGCCGCCCCCAGAGGGCGGGCTGGGGCTATTCCGATGGCCCCCGGCTCCTAGCCGGGGGAGGAGGGGGCTGGGCGCCTTCGGGATCCGGGCTCAACGCGGCGGCGGCGGATGCAGACGGCCGCGGGGGGGCCGTGAAGGGGCGGCCGCCGCCTCCCGCCCCCGCTCCCGCCGTCCCCCCTTTGCTCAGTCCGTCCTCTCCGCGGCCGGCGGGGCCATGTCCGGGGTAGTGAGGACCCTCAGCCGCTGCCTGCTGCCGGCCGAGGCCAGCGGGCGGGAGCGCCGGGGCGGCGGCGGGAGCAGCGGCGGCGGCAGCCGGGACTCGGAGCGGGAGGCCCGGCGGCGGAGCCGGGAGATCGACGCGCTGCTGGCCCGGGAGCGCAGGGCGGTGCGGCGCCTGGTGAAGATCCTGCTGCTCGGGGCCGGCGAGAGCGGCAAGTCCACCTTCCTGAAGCAGATGCGCATCATCCACGGCCGAGAGTTCGACCAGAAGGCGCTGCTCGAGTTCCGGGACACGATCTTCGAGAACATCCTCAAGGTGAGGCGGGGGGAAGGCCACGGGGGGCACGGGGAGGGGCGCACGGGGGGCAGGCTCGGGCATCGCCCTCCCCCCCCAGCTGGGGAGAGTGGGGTCTGCCGGCCTCCGCGGGTCCTACCTGGTGCAGGTGAGGAGAGCCAAATGGCTGGCCGTCCTCCGGGTGCGGGTGACAGTGATGTTGGGGCAGGGACTTGGGCTGGGCCCTCCATCGAGGATTCTCCAGTGAAATAGCATTCTCCCTCTGAGCAAACAAATCAAGCATTTATGAGGCACCCACTTTTTTGCTTTACAAATCCTCCCAACAACCCTGGTAAGTAACATAAGGATCCATTTTATAACTGAGGCACAGAGTTGAAGTGACTCGACTAGGGTCATGCAGCTAGTGGCTGGATTTGAACTCAGGCCGTCTGGGCTAGGCTTTTCTCAAAGCCGGAGGCCTCCGTGGTATACTAGACTGAGTGCTGGATTTGGCGAAGGGTCAGAAAGACGAGGGTTCGAATATGGACTCTGACACTGTTTAAAAACAACAGCTGGGGAATTCCAGAGGCAAGTTTTAAGTTGTGTGACCACGGGCAAGTCACTTTTAACCTTTCTAAGACCCCAGTCTCCCAGTTTGTAAAATGGGGACAGTGATATCTCAGACTTACCTCAGCGTTGTTGTGGGGATCAAACGAAATAATGAATAAGGTGCATTGCAAGCTTTAAAATGCTGTAATAAATATCATGTATGTTCCATTTTTGTCTTTTTATGTGTCTCCTAGTATAATGCCCGACTTATAGTAGGCACTTAATGCTTAGTGAATTGAATAGAAATTGAATTGAAAGTGCAAGTGGTTATTTTTGTTTGGGGGTCTATAAGGAAACCTGACGTCCTATATTTTTAATAACTCAGACTCTCTTTTTTGCCATGGCCAAAAAGTAGTCTTTTCTTTCACTGTCCTGATCCTTTGGGGATACTGTAGTGTGGATGGTAAATCTGGCCATTTTGTGCATTTGGTGTGTTGATATTAGGAGCTGGAGAGACCATGGCTGGACTTCTAAAGGAAAACCACATTGGGAACTTGGGGTAGCAAACCGCTGCATATTGGCTGCTTACTTTAGAAAGTTGCTGTGTGATGTCTGTGGTTTTCCCACTCCACCCTTTAGAGTCTTCAGTCAAAGCTGATGAGGAGGAAGTTGTCCTTGCTCTTTTCAGGCGTGTGCAATCAGAAGAAAAAATCCCCAAATCTGTTTTAGTGTTATGCAGTGTTAAGAAATGGTCACAAGAACTTTGGGGAAGTCATTGAGTGGATGCAGAGTTGACCTTCTTTCTCTATTTGGTCATAATCATTGGCTTACTTTTTCTCTCCTGGTCAAAAGAGGATAGTTTTCAAGCCTCAAATTGTCTTTTTGCTCATTGTGGAAGTAGGGGGAAGGGAATGGGAACATAGACCTGAGGACTCAGAAGCCTTGCGAAATGAGTTATTCCAGGGAACTAGCCTGGTGTCCTGGAGGCTATGGATTTTATCTTGCGTTTAAGATTTTAAAACTGGAGATGGCTTTAGAGGTCATTTAGTTTAATCTTCTCATTTCACAAATAAGGAAACTGAGGTCTAGGAAGACTGACCTTCTGAAGGTCAATCTTAAGTGGCACAGCCATGTCTAGAATAGTTCTCCTGACTAGTTCAGTGATTTTTTCACTAGGTCATGTTATTTTCCTTTATAGACTTATTAGAGAAGTTTAGAAATGGATAGGAAAGAAAAAGAAAAACTGGCAAATACCCCTTTTCTTCTTTCCCCCCTTTTTCAGAAAACAAGTTCAATTTAGAACTTTCACAAAGTATTTAAGTATCAAGGCTAGTTTCTAATTCAGTAGGGATTGAGTGTGTATTTGGAAAACTACCATTATTTCTAGGAAAAATGCATTTGATTTTCTTTTCTGGCCAAAACTGTTGTTTGCCACTTAACAGTCATACTCAATATAAATTATGCCTCCTTCCTGGATTGAAAAAACAAGATCGTGGCATTTGATTTAGGTTAAGGACCTTACGGTCTCCCAGTTTCTTCAAACTCAGGAGGCCACTGGCAACATAAATATCATAAATATGACGGTTAAAAAATAAAATAAGGACTCTTGAAAATCATAATTATAATTTTAAATGAGTTTAGATAATCTAGTCTTAACCTTTACCAATGCATACAAAACATTAACTTTTACTTTTGTTAACTTTTAGCAGAAACAAATTCCCCATTAACCACACAGGTCTTTCCTTCTCAACTTTTATGTAATCGTAGTTCCATCTTAAATTAAACTTCAGCTGTTCTAACAAGAGAATAATGGCGTAGAATTCTACTTTGAATTTAGAACACAATGCATGGGACATGTCTCATTGCTGAGAAAGAGATGGTTTTTAAAGGTTTTAACAGTGGTTTTGCAGTTATTCGGAATAATATGAGTGTTTGCAAATACTGTTGGAATTGCTGTGACTGAATTATCTAGTTTTTTCTTAGGAACAACTAATTTGATTTTTCCCCCCTTACTACATTGAATCAGCTGATTATGTGAATGTCATGGAAACCTGACCTGAGTCTATCTGCTTGTCTTCTTTTTATGCTATCATAAGCAAAATCCTCTCTTTTTAAAGAACTTTTTAACTAACATAATGCCTAAAAGTGAATGAATTGATCTTATACAATTGATTTGCTTTTTTTAAAATTAAGTTTTCTTTAATTCTGAGCTGTTTTTATAACTGCATTTTCTCTTAAAGCATCAGTGTCACAGCATGTTACAGCAGCTTTGGGATAAAAAACAACTGTTAAACTGTCCAGTACAAGTTTTCAAATAACAGTTCTTACTGGCCCCTACCCAGACATAGCCCAGATAAAATTTTTGGTCAAAAATATGAAATAGACCCACCTGCTTTAGTTTAAGGATATAAAAAAAGGAAACCAATTGGACTGTTTCAAGTTGCTTATTTTATGTAAAATGTCTATATAGTGTAACACTTTTCAGAATACAGTTAGAGTGATTATGAATCATGTTTTATTATGAATTAGTGTTCTGTACCTTACTGGATCCTTAAAAATCAGAAATTGCTGTAGTAGTGTACACTATAACTCAGCTCTTAAAGACTTAAAAAAACTAAGTTACTGTCAACAAGAAAAAAGAAAAACTTTTGTCAAAGCAAGCAAAGTCAATAATACCATTACATAGATTTGATAGTTTGCTCCTCCAATATTTGTGTGAAAATAGTTTGAATTTGGCTTGGCAGTGAATTACTACCACTTTACAAGTGTATTTCATGTTAAATTTCAAGACTTTTTTAAAAAATTGAATTTCCTTTATGTTATGAACCTGTCATCAACAAACACTACCACCGTTTCGTTTTACAGAGAAGAGCTAAAAAGATTGCGTATGATGTGAACACTGATTATGTAGTTTATTTTTTAAGTATATAATACATTTAACAAGGTAATAACAAAATTGTGCTCTTTAAGTTTTCTTCTGGATTTTTTCTAATTTTAAAAAAGTCTTACTGATAGTCTTTTTTTTTTTTTGCATCTGTCTCCCTATCCACTAATTTATCTAACCCCCTTGTAACAAATATGTGCAGTCTGAAAATGTCTCATTTTTTATCCCTAGGCCATCATCTCTCTGCTAGCAGGGAGAAGGTCTCTTGCTTCAACATCAGTCTTCAGAATCCATGACTGGTCACTGTTTAAAGTCTTGCAGGGTTGTTTGTCTTTTTTTTTTTTTTAACATTATGGTAATCTTGTAAATTGCTCTCCTGGTTCTGCTTATTCATCATCGGTTCATATAAGTCTTCTCAAGTCTCTCTGAATGCTTCATATTCATCATTTCTTTCAGTGCAGTATTGTTAAAATATTCTTCAATTGATGGACATTCACTTTGTTTTCAGTTTTTTGCTGCAAGAAAAAGTGTTCTGAGCATTTTTGCACATATCAATCATTTCTGACCTTTTAGGAGTCTGCCTATTAGTGGTATCGCTGGGTTAAAAGGGATGTGTATGTATATAACACAAAATGTTCAGCCATTCCCCAATTGATGGGCATCGCCTCAATTTCCAATTCTTTGCCGTCACAAAAAGAGCTGCTTTAAATATTTTTGTGCGTATAGCTCCTTTTCCTTTTTCTTTGATGTCTTTGGGGGTGCAGATCTAGTCGTAGTATTTCTGGGTCAAAGGGTATGCAGTCATTGTTTTATAGCCCTTTGGATATAGTTCCAAATTGCTCTCTAGAATGGTTGGATCGGTTCACAACTCTACCAGCAGTGCATTTAGTATCCCAGTTTTTCTACACCCTCTCCAACATTTGTCATTTTTCTTTTTTGTGATATTTGCCAATCTAATAGGTGTGAGGTGATGCATCGGAGTTGTTTTAATTTGCATGTCTAACCAGTAGTGATTTAGAGCATTTTTTTTATGTGACTACAGATAGCTTTGCTTTCTTTGTCCAAAAACAGCCCGTTCATATCAATTGGGGAACGACTCATATTCTTATAAATTTGACTCAGTTCTCTCTACGTTGAGAAATGAGGCTTCTATCAGAGAAATTTGCTGTAAAAAATTCCCCCAGTTTACTGCTTCCCTTCTAATTCTGGCTTTATCGGTTTTGTTTGTGCAAAATGTTTTTAATTTGATATAATAAAAATTATCCATTTTACATCCTGTAATGCTCTCTGTCTCTTCTTTGGTCATAAGTTCTTCCCTTATCCTTAAATCTGACAGGTTAAATATTCCATGTCCCTCTAATTTTTCCAATTTTTTTTTTGCTCATAATAATTTTCTTGTAATATTACCTTTGATGTAGCCATTTTGACCTTATCTCTGTATATGATGTGAGATGTTGATCTGTATCTAGTTTCTGCTAAACTGTTTTCCGGGAAGCTAGAGAGTCTAATAGATGAGGTGAAGAGTGAGTGAATTTCAGGAAATAGGGAAGTGTAAAGGCACAAGAGAGGAGATGTTAAATTCAAGGAACAAGGTACTAGGCTAGTTTGT